CAGCTGGCTACTAATACAGATGAAGAAGTCACTTTTATGAAGCTGAGATGTGGGCAAAGTTATTTAGTGAACTGCTGACTCACAGGAAGTTACTGTAAAGTGAACATGTACTTCAAAGGCAGGGAAACAACCGGTAAAATTAAAAGCCGTTGGCTGTTGTGATGCAGAGGTTAGTCAGAGAGGATCCAGCTGGCTGCGCTGACTGGCAGAGGCCGGCTTACAGCCACCTGGTCCCCATCTCCTCGACCTCATCTGATGCCAGAGGATGACAGAGAAGATCCCTCTAATTTTTTGTGGGGTGAAGAGTGTGTTTCATATCCCTCTAATCAAAGCCATGTCCTCCTTGCAGCTCTGACAAAGACCTCGCTTTTTAAAACTAAGTGAAGCCAGAAACAAACACGCGGACCACCCATCCCTGTAAACCGGCTTGTTTTGGCTGAAGTCTGAACATTAAACCTCCCCTGAATTCCGCGGTGGTCACGCTTTAATTTAGAGTTATTCCGCTCTCGAGCCGGTCCGCACCTGTGAGATGACCGCACGGATATGAGGCGCGAGACATGTGCGCGTCTGCCCTCTGACCTCATCTGTTTATCTCCCGCGAGCCGCACCTCGCTCCATTTACATTAATGGTAAACCCTCAGAGCCGCGAGCGGGCTCGTTTGTTTGCTGCGAAAGCGAGACGCACACGCGCCGCTTGTTTGCGGCTGAGGAGAGACACCTGCGCCCCACGCGCAGGGGGGATTGCCAGAGAAAGGTGTGTGGCTCTGCTTTCCTGCGCGCCAGGTGACAGTGACGCACGAACGGGTATTCACTGGGGATGAGTGGCAGGAAACAGCGTCCTAATTAAACTCACTTCACCCAGTTCTAGAGTTCAGAGCGAAGATGGTCTAAATTGATAGTACTGGATATATTGCACAACAGCAACCTCGTAAATCACCAAAAACTGTAATTAAATTTTGTAATATCGATAATTGCTTTCCTCGGGATTACCGGAGGCCATAGTTCACCCCTTTTCATTCAGACCTAATTGTGTCGGCCTATAATGAGTCGAACCAGACTAAAGGCCTGTTACTGTCAACTGAGAAGCAGATGATATAACAAAATGACATTCTGAATTTTTTTTAAAGCAGCAACAAAAAGTCCAATGCTAAAGAAATACCCTCACCAAATCTGCTGTGATCCTGTCTTGTCCCATGCACAGTCCCGTTGGGGAATATCTCCAGCTGAAAGCCGGTCCTGCAGTAGAGCTGACGCCGCCTCAGGATCCCTTTGAGGTGCCCGAAATCTGTCGGCGACCCCCGCTGCAGCCTCCCTTCAATCTGCCCCAGCCGCTCATTCAACCCCACTGGAGACTCTGGTATGGGCATATTTCCGAGTGCAGGAAAGCTTTGTAAATCCAAGTCGATTGTCCCCAAAAAACTCCCGACCTCTGCCATTGTGTGCACAGCTGTCACATTAAGCGAAGGCATTTAAAAACGTTTCGGTGACTCAAAGTGGGAGAAAAGTTTACACAAGTCCGGTCCATGCACGCACAAAGCGTAGCTACCCAGCGCGCCGTGCTCCTCCAAATCAGCGGAGTCCTTTCAGTTTATTGATCGTCCTTTGCTTTAATCATCAGTTTGATATCTCTGTTTATCAGATGGAGAGACTCTATTATATACATACTCCCCACGCATTCCCACATTGGATATTCAAACACAAGCCACGCCTGGCTGGCATCCCTTCTTACGCGCATCAGTTTCCTTTCCTGAATGTGTAGACTTCTTTCAGTCCAACTTTTACTACTGATGGTACCGCTGTCTCTGAGCTACGTCTCTGTCACTGCTCTCTTAGAAAGCTGTATCTGTCTTGCGACCAAATAAATCCAAGTCCAGAAGTCTCTTCTCATGGATCCTGCGCTCCTGATCGCGGTCCGAGGCTCTCTGATAAAACCACATCGCCTACCCAGGGGCAGGAAACTCTGGCAACAGTTTGCGGTACATTAAAATGCGACGCAGATGCAGAAGCAAAGACCATCATTGTTAAAACGCAAATGGCAGCTGACACAAAGCCGAAAAGCTACATTTATCATAAACTGTAACAACCACTTCACCACAAAGGCGATCCATAATTTACACTGACTGGTTTATGGTCACACCATAGCCTCTCCTCCTGGAAAAGAAAAGGAAAACCGCAAAGTATCAGGCAAATGTCCCCCCCCCCCAAGCAAGATTATCAAAATAACCTGTGCATAATCTCAGAGCAAACCGACCTCCTGCACAAGTGTCAGTGCCAACCACTGCAGTTGGACGTTTTCATGAGAGCATTTTCTCCACCTCCTTGTTGGAAGCAGGTGCTTCCTCGCCCCTCTGCACAACGTTTGCAATGTGCTCCAGCAAACCAGCAGCTTAACCACTTGTACTACTGGCAAGGAAGAGAAAAAAAAGGAAAATCCAAATGCTGATGACGTGTAGTATCAAATCTGACTGGTGCAGAGGCTTATGAACTTTTGGAGACTCCAGAAGAGCTTTGATAAAAAATGTTTTAGATTTTTTTTTTTTTCAAAACCTCTCCAATATTAATCTTCTAAAGTGTTAATTTTGTGCAAAAGTTTCAAACAAGCTGCAGCTTCACCGCTATGTTCTGCTGCTTAGTAATTATGTAACTACATAAAACATGAGTAAGCACCACACATTCATAAAAAAAGGTCTTCTCTGAATTAGCACCAGTGGTAGAAGAAGATCCTTTACTTAAGCAAAAGTCCTGCATTTAGAATTTGACTTAAGTAAAAAAAATTCTAATTATGCTAAATATTATATATGATTATATTTTTATATTGTTATTACTGATGTATTCATGTGATTTTAAGATGATCACATGTTTGGTTTGCAAAAGTAATGAGTAACTATAGCTGTCAAATAAGTAAAAAAAAAAGGCATAACATTTATACAATAACAAGTATAAAGAGGCATAACATCACAATGCTCAAGTAAAGTACAAGCTCTTCAAAACTGTATTTGAGTAAATGTTTCCACCACAGATTAGTACCAATGTCAGACATTTTGATATTTCAGGTGCACTGTGAGCTGTGCCATCATGCACATGAAAGAGAACACAGGGAAAGCCACAACGGGAATAATGATAATAAGTGTAATTTATGATTGAATGGGGATTTTGCATCTCCTCTGTGCACAATGGGCCAACAGGTCCCAACTTGTGGCTTCGCAGGGGGAAAAAAAAGCAACATGCAGCTGTTTAGTGAAGACTTTATTTCTGTGTGAGGATCGAAATGAAAACAAACTCCAGGAGTGTTTTAATTAGTTCACTGTTCTTGAGATATCAGTGACAGCGGGGCGAGGTGGGAGGGGAGGGCACGATTACATCAATAACACACTTTAACTATTAGGCGTGTTATTTTAGACCTCCCTCAAGCTGTTTTCGGAAACCCCCGTCCTGAGGGGGAGTTCTCACCTCAGAGCTGCTCATCACAGGCAGCAGCAGCTTCCATGCACAGAACTGGGATTTATGTCGGTGACTTGCTTCCAATGATTGGTGACAAACAGTGTGTTGAAATTACCCAAAGTGTGTATGATTGTCTTGATGTCACTGTCTGGCTTTGATGAATTTTGTAGCTTCTTGTTTTTTTTGGCTACTTTATCAACTTTTTGTGGTGACAGTGCAATCTGTTTTGAAGCAGATGTGTCTGGCTTTGAGTGGGATACAGTACGAGTGACCCTCCAAAGCACGCAGGCCTTTTTCACTGCTACTAATTATGCCACTATAAATCTTATGGGTGTGTCATGGCTGCATTGAAGTCAGAGGAGGGACAGTGGCTTTCAGCTGGTGCGGGATATGAAAGGTGGTGGGGGTGATGAATGCCCATGGGCCTCTGCTTGATGAATTGGGCAAGGGGTTGACGAGGAGTCAGGGATGGTCAGGCTTTGTGCGAACAGACACCAGGGCCCTCGCTGCAGAAGAGGATGAAAGGAGGATTTGTCTCAGCTAAAGGGTGGAAGGAGAAGGATTAAAGAAACGAGAGAAGAGGAGAAAGAAAGAGGTTGAGCAAGCGAAACAGAGTAATAGAAAATTAAAAGGAAACACCCACCGTCCCTTTTCTTCCCTCCTCATGAGCATGTTCTGACTTTCACTCACTGTTCATCTCCTCTCAAAACTCAAATCAATCTAAATGGCTATTAAGTGCTAGAATAAAAATCTAAAGGTGCTAAATTTTTATTTCATTTTTTTGGTAGCTATTACAGCTACATCTGTTGCTGGTCAGCCATATTTTATAGTTGACATGGCAGATTTATGGCTGCAGACAAAAAAAAAAAAAATCCAAAGTTAAAATGTTCCCATATGCTGAGAACCTGCAGAGGATATAGAAATGAAGATAATGACCTCAAGTGCATGGCTGCAGCTTTGAAGTTGCTCTCCCATGAGTCACAGCGAGAGAGTCGAAATTGAAAATGAAGTTACACTTGCAGCGGGAATTGGGGGCTAATAAGTGCCTCACCTGTTTATTTGGATTAGACAAGCTTCATATGTGTCCTTTTCAGAGGGCTGAGCAAAGGTCTGCTTGGACAAATTAAACCGGGATGTTGTACCGACTGGGATGCGTTCGATTTGATTATGGAGCACGATGGAGGTGCTTGTCTGTATTCTGCAGAGTCATTGTTGATGTTAAAGTTCAGTTTCAGAGGTTTACGCTCTCTTGCTGAGGGTTAGACAAGAAGATAGATTTCTCTCTCATGTCTGTCTCTCATGGTAAATATGAAGCTACAGCCAGCAGCTGGTTAGCTTAGCTTAGCATAAATGCTGGAAACAAGGGGGGCAGCTTGCTCTGTCTTGCAGTAAAGCATCTTACTTTGGTTATTACAGCTTCATATTTGACAAACATGTGCTATGAACATGTTCTGTGATGCTGTTGGATATGTAGTTTGTGTAAATTACTCAGCAAGATGCTCAAAGAGCGTTATCTTCTGCATGTAACAGCACTGGTTATAATGGAGCCAGTTGCAGCCTTCCTCGCCTGTGATGGATGCCCAGTTTAGAAGGAGGCCTCCTGCTGCTCCTGATGGCTCACACGTCATCATCAGATCTGGGATCAGGTTCCTCAAACCCTTCTTAACCTCAGCCAAGGGAGGGCATGAAAAAATGGCTGACTCAATATCAGTGGCTATTAGCAATGAGGGCTTGTATCTTATACCACCAGGTTAACAAGGCCACTAAAGGGGTCAAACCCCTGCGTCTGCCTGCTAGCAAAGCAGCACAACAAAGTCTAAGGACTGTTAAGTGTAGCTGCAGAGCAGAGCTTCAAATTCCCAGCGAGAGAGGAGAGAAAGGATATCATCTGTTCTTATTTTACCTTTTGTCAAGCAGCATGTGGAAAATGATCTTCACTGTGAGTTATTTGCAGAGCTGGATTCCGTGTTATTTCATTCCCTAGCAGAGACATAACAGAGAGGGTCTCCTCTTTCACGCAGGTGGTCCTTCGGTCTTGTTCAAGGGCGCTGTGTGCGCTGGGGAGGGGTGGGAGGGTACACAGAGGGGGGACGGGGGGGACGACACAGACAGATGCATGCGAATTTAGGTAATGGTGTAACATTTCAGCGCCTGTTTTCCTTGGCCACCCCATGTAAAGATAGTGTTAATTAATTTGTTTGGTTTGCTTTTAAGCACTAACAAATGGAGCCCTCCAGGTTTTGAGAAGCCACTAGTATGCAAGGAACACAGTCTAAAACCAACATTTGTTGTACAAATTGCTTGCATATGTTCTTGGGAGAGGAAAAAAGATCCTTGTCATGACACACCAACAGAGATGTCCCACTATTTTTTTTTTTACTCAATGGGAAAACCTTGGTAGGAATATTTTAACTTTGTCTCCAACATTTTGGTTTAGCAGTTAATTATCTGTACTCCAAACTTGCGGTTTTGCTGTTTTCATCAGACAGCTGACTTAGATATAAACTGGAGCACTAAATGCTGTATTTCATGGTATAAACCTCCTACTTATCCATGATATAAGTAGGGTTCTTAAACTTTTTTTTAAAACTTCCGTGATTCTTCTGGTCATTGATACAGTCACAGATTCATCATCGAATGGATAGTTTCAGGGTAATAAGTCTAATTAATTGCAGTCTCACATTAATCTGCCCGTGCTTCATGAATGAGCCCTCAATATCTGAGCAATGTTCCACCTGTCCATCCATGCTGATGACTGAGGGGCAGTGTAATAACAGCAATAACAGCTCGACTTGCTGTGCAGGGCTGCGGTCTGTCGTTAGAGAGTGTATATGCGTGATCATGATCCTGTCTGATGAGGGAACAGGCCCTCAGAGCGAGACTATTATTCTTACTACAACACAGAGCAGGAATCTACCCTCAAACAGATGTTAGGAGCCCTTTGTAGAGCCTTTGGCACCGAGCCCAACCCTACCTATCTGCACAGCTATTTACATGGCAATCCAGCTGCTCAGTCTCTCTCTTTTTC